CAAGGGCTCATGAGGGAGGGGAAAAAAATGAGGACCTGATGCCAGAGGCTTAAGTGGAGAGCAAATGTTTTGAGAATGATGAGGGCAATGAACGTACAAATGTGCTTTACACAATTGATGTGTGTATAGCTTGTGATAAGAGTCGTATGAGCCCCTAATAAAACGATTAAAAAAACAACAGCAACGATAATAAAAATTAAAAAAAATAAATCAGCCTTCCTTAGTCAAAAACAGGGAGAACAGAAAATGCTTCTTTTAGCATTGACTACCTTGGTATCCACCCACCTCCTGCCTGGCTCCTCCCCAGAGACTCTGGGAGAGAGGAAGACAAGATAGACGAGCTAGAGGGATCCGCTACTGGAGGGCTGTGAAAGGGAGAAATCCAGAAAGCACCGACTGCTGTCTGGGGTCCTCTGAAGATTCCGAAATGAAAAAGTAAGTGTTAGCAAGCCTTGACACGTGGGGAGAGACAGTCCAGGCCCACCTTCCACTAGATTCTAGAATAAGTCCACTAGGGACTGGAAGGACCACTGTGCAGGGAAAACAGAGTGAGCAAGGACATTTATGTTCCCACCCTACAGCTTCAGTGTTGAGACCCTAGGGTGATCGCTTCATTTCTCTGAACTAAGGGCACCTCGGGTGTTAAGAAGTGCTAACAGTTACCACCAGGCCCCACTCCAGGAGGCCCTGAGTGGTGTAAATAGTGAGCAAGGTGGGAAATGTGATTCCAGCCAGAGGAGCTTCAGAAGAAGAGGCCAAAAAATGTAGCCAGGCAAAACTGGGAGCCCTCGCAGTCCAAGCTACTGTCCACGACGTCACCATGAGTCAAGGTGGGGGTACAGGGGCAGCAGCTGACAATAACTTATCTCCTGGGCAGTGCTTACCTGGTATCCCAGATAGGAAAAACATGCTAGATGATTCAAACCCACCCCCAACCCCCAAACAACAACAACAACCCAAAAAAACCCAAATCTCAGCACCATCAAGTCGATTCCAACTCAGAGTGACCCTATAGGACAGGGTAGAACTGCCCCTGTGGGTTTCTGAGGCTGTAACTCTGTCTCCCGATACATTCAAAGTGCCAGCAAAAAGTAGCTCTGGTGACCTCTGAGGAGAGGATTTAGGGTGGGAAGAAGAGGCTCCTTAAGTTGTTAATGGGTGGTGTAGGAAAAGAAGAAGAATCACTTCTGTGAGAAAAGATGCTGGACCCTCTGGTCAAGGAAAAGAAACTTACTGAATCAGGACTGGGGAGGTTGTGATTGGATCTACATCTAATTTGCTCATCTCTACGGAAGAGGGAGGTTTTCTGTTTTTGGTTTTTACAAGAAAGGTCTTATTAACCCTCATTGTATGAGAAGAATATTAATAACTGACATTTGCTGAGCACTGATTACATATAAAGTATTGTACTAAGCACTTTACATTGTTCACTCATTTGGTTTTCACAACAACCCTGTAAAATATGCTCTTGTTTTCTCCTACTTACCAGTAAGCAAAGCACAGAGAAGTTAAGTCGCAAGCCCAAGGTCACCCAGCTAGTAAATTCTTGGATGGCATCCAGGAGCCCTGGCGTCACAGTGGTTACGCATTGGGCTCTGATCAGCCAGGTTAAAAATTACCAGTCTGATCCATGGGAGCAAGACAGGACTTTCTACCCCCATAAATGTTACAGCCTTGGAAACTCAAAGGGGTAATTCTGCACTGCTCTATAGGGTCATGGTGAATCAGCATTGACTCGATGGCAGTGAGTGGAGCTTGTTGGATGTCATCGCAGTGGTTTGGCTTCAGAACTCTAGCTCTGAAAACTCTACAATACTTCCTCTTAGGAAAAGTTACCAGAGTGGACAGAGAAGCAGGCATTGGGATATTAGATCCCAAACCAAATTCCCAAACCAATACCATCAAGTTGATTCCAACGCAGAGTGAGCCTACAGGACATGGGAGGACTGCGCCTATGGGTTTCTGAGGCGGTCACTCTCTATGGGACTGAAAAACGTTATCTTCCTTCCTCAGAATGGTTGGTGGTTTGGAATCGCTGACCTTGGGCAGTTAGCAGCCCACTCAGTAACCCATGACCCCACTAGAGTTCCTCAGGTTATTAAATAGGAACCAGTAAATATGCACACTATTCCTGCTCCATTCAATTTCAGTTAAAACTAAGATTGTTGATTTTTCTACTTTCAGTTGGTGTTCCTAGACAAAAGATGATTTTTAAATTCCTATTAAATTCTTAGCAGGAATGTGGAAAGACAGGATCTCCCTAATGCACAAACAGACTAGAGCAGATCTATCTGATGAGGAGGCAGTAAAGTGGTCCCATTAGCTCACGGAGAACATGGAACTGGGGAAGGAGAGGACAAGCATCGGAAGATGCTGGGATGCTCCTTTCTAGACCTGTACTGGCTCCGTGGTACAGCTGGCATGAAGACTTTGACCACAAAGTCAATACCAAATAAGGGTAGACTAGATGAGTATATAGGACGTCTCCTTCCATGGCCAAGTTAAACATAGGAGAGTTACGGAAGTTACATTTCAGGTATGCGCCATTCCTATTTTACAAGTGTGTCTCTCAAAAGTGTGTTCAGAATGGGAAGGGAGGGAAGGAGAAGTAATGGGGTAGAGGGCAGACCAGGTGTTAACTTGGTAAAAGGAAACATCCATCCTACAAGAGGGAAATGGGGGCAACGGGGAAAGGAGGCCAAGCTACCTGGGAGCATGAATAAATTGTTAAAGTTGCTGAACACAAAAATGATGATCTGGAATGTAAAGCCCCACCTAATTCACAATAAAAACATTTCAGGAAAAAAGAATTTATTCAGCATGGCAATAGTTTCTGAACTAAGAAGTGGCCTGGGTTTTTTGTTTTATTTTGTAATGTTATATATAGAAGCGAAGGGGTGTGTAAGCAAGTTTTATAGATTAATACTTTGATAAATATGTTGTTAGTGGCTTCAAAGCATTTGGCTTTTTAGTTATATATATATATATATATATATATATCCCAAGGTGTGAATTGCCCCAAGACCAACAGTGGCACGGAAGACTGGCCTGAACATTTCCCTGGGGTAAATTCGAACCGTATTTGAGGATCCGGTTTGACTTCATCGCGGACTTACAACACAGATTGCTGTTCAGAACATACTTGTTGAGTGGGAGGGGACTGCATTTTAACTCAAGCTAACTGGGTCCCTGCAGGGTAAGACAGATTCTGTAGCAAAGCCACCTCCTGGGTGAGCCTTGACTTTCTACAGAGCCCACCCTGGGGAAAGTATAAAGGAGATTAGTGGTTTGGATCCATCCCCCAGATCGGTCATCACCACAAAGCTAGGGTTTCCCTCCAGGTTCTCAACATAAACCTCATCACTTCAGACCCTTGCTCTCCCCTCAACACACACAACAAAGACAACACTAGGATCTCTAGCCAATATTTCTTTACTTCCTGTTCTACTGTCCCTTCTTTGTACCTTTTACCTCTCACAGACACACACTCTATATGGAAACCTCTTCTGTTTTCCTTGGTCGTAATTCCATTCTAAGAGAGACTTAGCCAGACCGGAGTAGCCCTGGACATTTATGCTTACTCCTTAAGATGACTTTACGGGTGGAAATCTCAGGACAGGTAAATGTTTGGGCACACCTAAAATCATAAAGGGAAACTCTGCACCTTGTGACTTCTGCACCGCCTCTGTTCCAGTCTAGTGGGACTAGAATCCAGGCATCCTGACGCGTAATCCAATTATCTTCCTGTCTCATCCACTGGCTTTGGCTTGGAGCAGCCCAGCTCCGCCTGGTCTTTCCTGCCTTTGAAAACAACAGTGCCAGCCTAAACTCAGCAACCCCTTTGAGCTTTAGTTCATTTCTGTAAATGTCAGTACTAACAATGCCTTGACATCACAGGACTGGGTGCTATAATAATATTCAAGCCAGACATTTCAGTAAATGATCATTTTTATAGTTTATATTGTGTTTGAACTTTGGAAAGCCAATAAAAGTCAGGACCGAGGTCCAGGTCACTGGAGAGATTGCATCAGCACCCAGCCCTGGGTAGGTTGCATTGTTGGAAAATCACAAGGAGCCTGGATGTATTTACCTTGCTGTGATCCAGCACAGCAAACAAGCAACTGGGCTCTGTGATGTCCTTTTACTGCCTGGTGTTTAAATACTGCCAGTGAAACTTAGTGAATTATACTTTCAACTCTGTTACCCAGATGCAATGTTTTTCATTCCCAGTAAAGGGTTTTCATGCCTCAAATGAAAAAGAAAATGGAAAGAAATTCTTTATCATGGCCAGGTGAGAACCACCTTTCTGCGAATATTCTGTGCACTTCCAAACAGCATCTGCATACTGACTGTTTTATAATTAGCATGCATTGAAATGGAGATCCTGATCTAGAGCAAACTGGAAGATCAAAGCTCTCTCTCCAGTCTTAACTCAGATCTCTCATAGCCAGATTTTGTTTAAGGGCCATTAAGAGAACACAACCCCCACACTTAGCTCCCTTGACAGCGTGTATGTAGCACAACAGACAGATAACCAATCAACTAGCTTCAATGATCTGTTCTAACTGCATTATATGCAAAAACACACCTTCGTCATATCTGCTGTGTAAACTCAGATCTCACTACTAGACACTGTCTTCCTATTGTCAGTTGAATGATCTTCCTGATATCATTGAAGTAAGCAAACCTTACATCAAAGTGGCTGAAAAACTTTTATATTCACAAGTTGGGGGCTTTGTTCTCTCCCTCTCTAATTGAATGGAGAGTGCTTAAGATTTCCCAAGCCCCAAAGGTTATATTGGTATGCAGAGCAAGGAGTGATTACTATGTGGCTGGGGATTTTAAAAGATACCATTGTAGGACTTTCAGAATTAAAAATATCGTCTGACCCAAATGATTATATTCCTTTGCTAATTTTATTTTAATTACTTGACTTATTTTTGAGGTCCACTGTTGTAAAGTCCAGCTACCCACGGTTAAATAGCCTCATCTTTTGATAGAATTTTCACTGCTGTTGCCTATGGAGCACTGGCCATTGGAGAAACACTGGTCTGGACACCTCAATATTCCAAAGCCAAATCGGGGGCGGCACATCTGTTCGCTTTGTTGGAGAAGAAGCCCACCATAGACAGCCACAGTCTAACGGGGAAGAGTCCAGTAAGCACAACTCTCATGTGAACGTCTACTTTTTTTTGGACCAACCAAGGAATGCTTTCTAAACAGAAACATAAATAAAGGCGTTATTTGATAACTTTTTAAAAGATAGTGCTATGGTAACATAAAGAATTAATCATATCAAATAATGGTCATGGCTGCTAGTGAAAACAGAGAGTCTTTTTTAAATCAAGTGTTAAACGGTACAGAAAATGTCCAGATACTTATATTTTGAATATGCAGCTAGCTCATTTGCTGATGTCATGAAAATGTTGATGAACAGAGGAATGGTTTCTACGTCGCATTTAATTGAGACAGCAAGAGTTTAGTCTTAGAGCAAGATTTGCGTTAGGGTGATTTTGTTTATTCCCTGAAAACATATGTGAAGGAGAGTCCTCCCAATTCTGACACAGTTGTTCATGGGAAATAATGTCTAAACAACAACAACAACAACCAATAGGACAATATATGTGTCAAACTGAAACATGCACACAAGTTTAGCCACAAATTCTAATATGGGTTCTTTGAAATGAAATAATAGAGAAATTGTATACTATCAAAACAATAGTCTTATGCATTAATAGTACACAATTTTATTATAGTCTTATACATTAAATATGTACACAATTTTAAGATCTTTCTAGACATTTCAAATTTAAAAGTAATAATATCCATTAGGTATATGTTTTTTTTGCGTGTCTGTGGATTTTTATTATCTAATTTTTTTTTTTTTTAGTTCAAAATGTTGCTGGTTTTATTTTATTTTATTTTTTTTGGTATAGTTATTTTTTTTTAACATTTTATTAGGGGCTCATACAACTGTTATCCCAATTCATACACACATCAATTGTGTATATGTTTTAAAAGAAATTTTTCATTGAGAATTATTTCCCTGTAGGATTTTAATGGCAGAATTATATGCTTGACAGTTTCTAAACAATACAGTATCACTAGAGCTACATAATAATTAAAAGAATTGCCTGTTGTTAGTGACAGAAATAAAAACACCTTGAAATTCTCAAAAGACACAGAGAAGCATATCAGATTGTGTGATCCAAAGATGACAATTACAAAATTTGAATATGGTGCAGAGGAAAGTATCAGAGCTAAATTTATGAACACCCACTTTGCAAATGGCTAGGAGGACAGTGGGAGCCCAAAACCCTTCTGCAGATTATCTGGTCAGACTGAGCCACTGGCAGATCCACTCTAGCCAAAAACGCAAGCGTCTCAAACAGCCGTACTATCCGGCAGAGCCCATTGCAATCTTGATTATGCTGGATTGAACTCGCTACTTGGGTAGTAGACCGCCCTTAAAGACATGACCTGAATTTGTACTGAGAGCTAACTTGTACTATGACAGAAATTTGCTCCCTGGCTTGTTAAATGTTGGTGGGGGTTTTTCCTTCTTGCACATTCCTTGTCATTTTCTCTTTATGTTATTATGATTTTAGCCTTACCGCCTTAGTGCCTTTTATTAATATTATTATTGTTGTCTGTTGGATTTCCCAGCTGTGAAACACAGGAGGAAGGAATGCATAATGAGAATAAATGATACGAGGGGTTCTAGGGAAAGCAGCGCGGGGAACAGGGATGGGAAGGGATTTCAGGAGTAAATGACGCAGGTGGGAGACGGGAGGGAGCCATGGGAACTGGTCATGATTGCACGACTCATTTTAAGGGCGATTTACCCATGGAGCGGGGGGAGGATGCTCTCAGATAGATGTAGTGGTCACTATACAATGCCCATTGATATGACTGAATGACTGAACTATTGAATTGTATGATACGTAAATTATGTACCAACAAGCTGTTGGGGGAAATAATAAAGGAACACCTGGAAGAAAAAACAAGAAATTCTCACAAGAGAATGTTCAAATATACATCACAGTCCAAATAAGATTTCATACTTGTCTTTTGGAGCATAAAGGATGTAAGAAGCAATTTGTTTATTAGAAATTTTATATATTTTAGATGTATAATAGTCTTACTTTCTTTCTAGATGGTGTACTAGATATACTGAATGTATATCTATTTGTATCTGCAACTGTGCATAATCATATACTATAGAAATTTCTTATAAAGATAATACAATTAGCTTAATATTTGTTTTTAAATGTAAATGCTTCTGAAAAGCCCAGGAGCCCTGGTGGCATAGTGGTTACAAGTTGGGCTGCAAATCACAAGTTTAGCATTTCAAACCCACTGTTCACTTCTCAGGAGAAAGATGAGGCTTTCTACTCCGATCAAGTGTTAGGGCCTCGGAAGCCCACAGAGACAGTGCTACTCTGTTCTATAGGGTTTGGTATGAGTCAGAATTGGCCCCACGGCGGTGAGTTTGGTTTTTTGTTTTGTTTTGTTTGCTTGTTTGTTTGTTTATAGGGGAGTAGCGGACAAGATTTTTGGTCTGAAAAGCACACCCAATGACTGTTAAAACTCAAGTCTGGTAAATAAAAATCAACAAATATTCAAAACTGTGGAAGCTGGTTGATAGGTATAGGGTAGTCCACTACATTATTCTCTGTACTTTTGAAATTTTTCAGGATATTAAAAATAGTAAGACTAAATCTGAAAATGTATGGAAGTCTGTGCTTTTTCTACTCTACCTCCCTGTGACTTGTCCGCACACACACCGCAGTGGTGCATTCTCTGTGGTTCTATTGTTCGCTAAGGTTTGTTTTTGTTCTTGTTTTTTTTACCTTTTTATACAAATAATGTTTATTGAGAAGAAATTAAAATTTTGAATAATCTAAGAGAAAAAAAAGCAAAGCCCTGCTATTATTAAGCTTTGGGGAAAAGATGAGGCTCTCTACTCCCACAAAGAGCTACAGTCTCAGACAGTCTTAGAAACTCACAGGGGCAGCCCACCCTGTCCTCTGGGGCTGCTGGGAGTCTGAATCAACTCAATGGCGGTGAGTTTAGTGTTTTATTTAGAGGAGCCTCTGGAGCGAGGCCTGAAGCCCGCTTCTACTGGATCACAGTCTGGAAAACCCTAGGGAGCAGTCCTCCCCGGATGCACCTGGGATCATCATAGGGAGACGTCAATTCAAAGGCCACGAACAACAACTCAGATGCTACTGATGGGGGCAAGACTGGAATTCAAGAGAACTTAAAATCCTTTTTAGCAAAGGTAAAAAGGAGAGATGGTTTATATTTCAATGACAGTTCTAGAGAAATCTCCGGTCCACACCTCTGACCTACGTTAAGTATTGGTTTACAAATCGTCAACCACGCATGAGATTGAAACAGAGAGAGAAGCTAAATTTTAGGCAAGGCCATTGTCAAATAATGATTAATTAAAATGGCGATAAATCAGATTGAAGATTCAGATTCAAGATATGTACTTACTGCAGACCCTCATCGACTCGGACTTCAGCAATAAAGTTCTATAAAAATCCCCAACCAAACTCACTGCCCTCGGATTGTGTCCAACTCGTGCCAGCCCTATGGGACAGGGGAGAACTGCTCTGTGGGTTTCTGAGACGGTAACTCTTCATGGGAGTAGAAATCCTTATCTTTATCCCGAGAAGAAGCTGATGGTTTTGAACCACCCACCTCGTGGTTAGCAGCCCAACATATAACCACGAGGCCACTTCATAAAGGTCTATAAAGTACACGTTAAATAATAAAGATGTACTTATTCAGAGTTCAAGCAGCTGATCCATAGAACAGTGTCTGGGTAGCGAAGTCAGTGCTTTTTAAAGACTTAACCTCCAATAGTGAAGATAACAAAAATGAGGTGTGTGTGTGTGTGTGTGTGTGTGTACACATACATATACCAAACCCCAAAGTCATTGCCACCCAGTTAGTTCCAACTCATAGTGACACTATATAGTATTTCCAAGACTACTGTTGGGAATAGCAGCCTCATCTTTCCTCCTTGGCGTGGCTGATGGGTTTGTCCTGCCTATCTGGGTTAGCAACCACAGAGCAGCCACCGGGGTATGTATATGTACGTGCATGCAATTTCTATTCCAGAGTTTAGTGCATTTTCAAAAAGAAAGCGTCAGTAACTGATGTGCTACAAAGATGTAAGCAGGTATGAAAATTAAAATGGTTGTGGACAACATGTCCAATTTTCAGAAAACATTCATCCACAACTACAATAGCATACAACCCCTCAAAGTCACCCCACTAAATATGGTCAACCTCCTTCCACAGGACACATGCGAAGGGAATTTGGAGTTTCGCGACGTCTCTTTCTTCTATCCCTGCCGCCCAGACGTTGTCATCCTTCAAGACTTCAGCCTCCGTGTTGAGAAAGGGAAGACGGTGGCATTCATAGGCAGCAGTGGCTGCGGGAAAAGCACTTCCCTGCAGCTCCTGCTGAGGTTCTATGACCCCCGGAAAGGACAAGTGGTAAGACCACCTTGAAATCCAGCTGTCGGGGGCACTTGAACATTCAGGAGCTCAGGCTTCCTCACCACGGGGTAGCTTGGGTCAAACAATATGGAAGCTTTAAACATGAAGATTCTCTATCCCAGTTCTTAACTAAGAGGACTAGCAAACAAATAACATTAAAAAGCCACCACCCCACCAATAGAACTTTACATCAAAATGCAAAAGCTCAATGATTTTTCTACCATGATGACAGTAGAGATTTTTATTTTATAAGCCATAGAACTTATTTCAAATACTGGTGTTGAAAGACAAATCTAATGTCCACTTTATAGCTCTTTCTTTCCTCTCCCCTGGCTTAAGACAAAGAGAACAGTTGATTCCACGTCTTTGGTTCAGCCCTTTTCCTGGTCACTTCAGAGAACCCTCCACAGTTGTCAAAAACGTGGGCACAATTAAAGCTTACATGAACCAGTGCCATTCCATTATACCATCTCATCTCAGAAGAGAGAGAGAGATCGAACGGTGCCCTCGTAAGAACCCCGCGTATTGCTTTTCTTCTCTGGTACTTATTTCCTCTGTTCTTTATTCTGACTTTCCATTATCTCCTCCCTAATTGCCATCACTCACACACACGCTCACACATACAGCTTCTTGTCCCTTCTCCTTCCCCTGGATAACTGCAAGTCCCGTTAGGGCAAAGACTGCCCTATCAGTCTTCATTTTACCATGAAGTACAGTCACTTCCACATCACAGATTCTCAGGGAATATTTACAAAATGTAATTAGTTCAAACTACTCCCTTGGACTAGGTAAGGCTGATCTAATTATTTACAAAGATCACAAGATAGCCCTTCTTTATTAAGTGGAGAGCAAAAGTTTTGAGAATGCTGAGGGCAACGAATGTACAAATGTGCTTTACACAATGGATGGATGTATGGAATGTGATAAGAGTTGTATGAGCCCCCAATAAAATGATTTTTTTTTAGAAGGTAGCTCTTCTTTAAATGCTCCAATGGTTTCCATTCCAAGTTAGAATAAACCACAATCTGTACATTCAATTAATATCCTCTAGGCTTGGCAATTTCTATTCCTGACTTTATGGAGTTGTTCAGTATGTCTATTGCTTGCCTCTCTCCACAAGAATGTCAAAGTTAGGGGGCAAGGGCTCTGGCTTGTGTATCACTATTTCCCCCAAGCTGAACTATTTCCCCCATGGTAGATCTTGCTCACTTATGCCCGACTCATAACAGCCTTATGGGACAGGGTAGAACTGCTCCTGTGGGTTTCTGAGACTGTAACTGTTTACAGAAGTAGAAAGCCTCATCTTTCTCCTAAGGAGCGGCTGATGGTTTAGAACTGCTGACCTTGCAGTTAGCAGCCCAGTGCAAAATCACTACACCACTAGGGCTCCTGCACTGTAGGTAGTACTCATCAAAATACTTAATTGCTGTTCTATGTTCATGTGAATACAGAAGGGTATGTGCAGAATAAGGAAGACCATATCAAATTAATGCGTTTGAATGATGGGGTTGGCAAAAACTATGGAACATACCAGGGTCTGCTAGGAGAATGTGTTGGAAGAAGTACACCAGCATGCTTATTAATAGTGGGGAAGACAAGGTTTTGTCTCCCGTGCTTTGGGTATGTTATCAGGAGGGAATAGTCTCTGGAAAAGGACGTGAGGTTTGGTAGCGAATCAGCAAACAAGAGAAAGACCTTCAACAAGAGCAGTAAACACACTAACTGGGCACAAACATAACAATTGTGAGGATCAGGCAAAGTCTCATTCTATTGTGTGTCAGGTGGCTGTGCATCGGAACCACCTCAACAGCAACAAAGAGCATTTAACAATGACCCGTGTCTCTCTACATGTAGACTGCTATGTCAGTCAACGAATGGGGCTTTTAAAGTTCCCGGGGCAAAAAAAAAAAAAAAAGGAACGAAAAGATACTGGATTTTCCCCCTACAAACTTTTGAAAGCTCTCTCTGGGATCTTACCTTCTCATTGGACTCTCTCATAAAGTGGGCTTCCTCTGAGCAGTGGAGACAATGGTTAATCTGTTCACATCTGACTTTCAAACACATCCCCAGGCTTTACGCTAGAGTCCCGGCCTGGTGGTCTCTAGAACATGTGGTCATTCCTGGAAAAGTCAGCTAAGTTTAAGAGTCCACGCATTCGTCAGCTGCTCCTCTGCAATAGAGGGTCGATGAGCCTTCTTGGGTAACACGACACCTTCAACTAGCTTAGCTCCCTAACCTTATGATGTATGTCGCCTGAATATGACATCATCACAGGAGACTGAAACATGATCCCGTCGTTGGATCTTAACGTACCATTCTCCATCCCACTTTTGACAGCTCTTGGACGGCGTGGATGCGCAGGAACTGAGCGTGCAGTGGCTCCGTTCCCAAATAGCGACAGTTCCCCAAGAGCCTGTGCTCTTCGACTGCAGCGTCGCAGAGAACATTGCCTACGGCGACAACAGCCGGGTGGTGCCATTGGTTGAGATCAAAGAAGTGGCCAAGGCCGCGAGTATCCATTCCTTTATTGAATCTCTCCCTGAGGTGAGAACATGTCTGACTTGCTCCAGGACAAAGCTGCCAAAAGGTTGCCCAAGTAGCGGCCAACTGACCGTCAGTGATTGGTTTTTTACGAAGTCCTTAGGCTGTGTATTTTTATTAGTTGCCAGCATCTAACATTTTTGTGATTGTGGTTGTTTTTCCCAACAGCAAGGCCAAGACTGTTACCATTCACTGAATTAACATGTATATATTGGCTCTTCACTTCTCTCCCTCTACCCTCTTCTCCACGCCATGGTCATCCTCATCTGGACCGCCGCAGAGCCTCTTACTCAGTCTTGCTGCCTCCAGTCTCGCTCTTTCATAATCCTTCCTCCTCACAGCAACCAGAAAGATCCTCTAGGAAAAAAAATAATGAGATCACTTCCCTCTCTTGCTTAAAACTTGGTTTTTCTTTTTCTAGCTTCTGCCTCCCTGTTTTTCCCTCCCCACTCCAACCCCCATCCTCATAGCCATCAAAATTCCTTTCATTTGTTTTGAAAATCTTTTTTCTTGATTTTTTTTCTTTTACAGCAGTGGTCTCACACAATACTCATCTTTATGTGATCGACTAACTTTACTCAGTATACTTTCTATATCCATGTCATGAGGTGTTCACCCACTTCATCATTATTCCTTAGCGGTATGTCATCTTGCACTGCATGTGCGTACCAGTCTGTTTAGCCATCCCTCCACGTGGGTTGTTCCTCTCTGCTGGCTATTGGGAATAGTGCTGAGGCGAACACGGTGTGCATATATCTGCTCTGATGCTTTCCGATACACACCCACTGGTGAGACTGCTGTGTCATATGGTATTTCTATTCCCATGTGTTTGAGGACATGCTGTGTCACTTTGACCTCCAAGAGCCAATGAGTGGAACCCCTTCCAAGTGCCCACAAGTATCACACAAGGGCAGCTCTCAATCACTTTGTGGCTTCGTAACTTATACTTCAACCCACGAGCCCTCATGAAATGCCTCCCTTGTGCCAGCTGGAGTTCTCCAGAATGCAGTCGATTTGGGCTTAGAGCATTCTGGTATTCTCTTCAGGACCTAACTGATGTCCCATGACAGAGATGATTTCAGGTTACTCAGGGTATGTCAGAAAATAGAGGGCAGTTTTCCATTTAAATCGAAGAGTATGGAATTTGGTTTGAGTACATGTGCATATGTTTTTAGGTCTCTATTAACTAAAGAAGCCTGGGGGTGCCATGGTTAAAAGGGCTTGGCTGCTAACTGTCAGGTTCATGGTTCAGAAGCAAGGTCAGCTCTGATGGAGAGATCTGGCAGTCGCTTCTCTAATGATTACAGCCGTGGCAATGAATGTCCTGTCTTTTCTGTCCTGCAGGGTCAGCGTGAGGTGGAATCTAACTCAATGGCAGCAGATTTTGGTTGGCGCTTATTGCCATACTGCATAAATTCCCTTTAATTTTTTTTTTTTTTGTAAATTAGGTGAGGATTTCTATTTTATACCATCCACTTGGTCGTCAACGTTTAAAGTCATCATCTAAGCCCCCAGTAGTTGATCCCTCACCCACTGCTGGATTTCTCGTCTCCCTCCTGTGGATTTCTATCTTCTACTTGAGCCAAGTCAACACCCTCCACCCTCGCCATCTAGTCTATTGCTGTCTCTTCCCTCCCTGGCCCTCCTCTCACTGGGATACTCCAAAGTCTGCTCGCTTGGGTACAAACATCTTTATCTTAGGTTTCTTTCCCCTTGTAACATCAGTCTCGTTTACTATTGTCCTTGGTGATTGGCTAATTTCTTTTTTTTTTTTAAGCATCTCAGCACTAGCAGGGGTCTCCACATGGCTGCTCCAGCACCCAGGGCGGTGATTGGCTAATTTCACTCAGTTGACATTTCTCCAGGTCCAGCCACGCCTTGAGGGGCTGCATGGTTTCATCCGTGTTCTTTAGTGATGCGTAGTGGTCGTCGATTGCGTGTAGTGACCATGGTTTCTTTAGCTGTTCTCCTACTAATGGGCAGTTAGGTTGTTTCCACCTCTGATGACTGTGCACAGGGTTGGGACGAACATGCGTGTGCATCTGTCTGTTCTCATTATGACGCTTACTTCTTTAGGGTGCACACCCCACAGAGGGATTGTAGAGTCGGATGGATGTTCTCGTCCCAGGTCTTCGAAGTAGCGCCAGGTCATTTTCCAAAGTGGCGGCACATATTTAAAGTCCCATCAGCAATGTAGGAGGCCTCCAATTTCTCTTCTGCCTCTCTGGAATTTATTTTCTGAGGTTTTGGGGGTTTGGGCTTCTCACTTGGCTGTCATTGCCACTGCGAAGTGGTAGTTGATGGTTGCTTTGAATTGTATCTCCCGCATAGCTAAGAAGACACCTGGAATTGACTTTCATGCAATTCATTCTTGGAACTTCTATCTTCCTGAAATCTAGAGAAAGTCAAGAGATACAAGCAATGTTGGATCTTCTTCAACTGGGGTGTGGGGGGAAAATCCCATGTACAAGTGGAATTAGAACAGCAGAAAGGGCCCAATGTTGCTGTCAGCTTGGAATCTAACTTGGATGAGTGCTCAGGAGTGTGAAGATGAAAGAGACTCCGTGTGACCATCTTGCCTTATAATTCTGAATTTAATGAAATATATTTAAGGAGAACAGGACCCAGTCTGTCCGTAACCCTCAGATGAATGACAGAGGAAATAACTGAAGTCTGTCTTCTTCTTATTCACAGAGAAGTCACATTTTACCAGGCGAAAGTAAGTCCCCACCCACTCATTCAGTCAATTAGACAATCATAAAGCAAGCAATTGTGCATTTTAAATTAAAACACAAACTTTGTGATGGTGAAGATGTGTCCCATGAAGTTGTGTCATATGCGCTACCACCACTTATCTGGCAGCAGCCTCCAGAATGGAGGGAAAAACATTTAACCCAAGCTTCTCCAGTTTACTAAAATGACCAGCATTATAGTCATGTGCTTTGCCTTCTGTGCAATACAGTCCCACCAGATCCACCTTTAGAAGGTCGTATACTTGGACTTGCTTTCTCATTCCTGACTGGGTACCTATAACATGTACCTGGAAGACAGCTGGCAGGGCTTTCTAGAAAGCAGTGTGAAGCCTTGGAGGGAGGCTGGAACAGTGCGATAATCTAGAAAACAGGTAGGGGTCAGCTTGAACCCACAGCACTGGCACTGGCCAATAACTTAGGGGGGCGCAGTGGCTTTGGGATACATATGAGGAAGTATACAGGTAAACAAAGAAGCAGGCATTAGTTAGCACAGGAACTGTGGAAACACAGCAGACTGCTAAATATCGCCATTATAGCCTGAAAAGATGAAAGGTGGTCTCAAGTTGCAGGGCTAACTCGCTGCAGGGAAGACGAAGGTACCACTGAGAACAGCAGCCCAGCAGCGGAGGCCGCCCCATACAGGCACCCACGAGTCACCGTGAAGAAGCCCAGTGCTTTCCTTGTTGAACTAATGCTGATCTGAGAAGAGAAACTGGTGTAACTGAATCAGAGTGGATTTGTACGATGACATTATTTTGCTTTTTTTATACTTAGGATTTGATTTTTTTTTTTTTTTTGCAGAAGCATAAAGGCAAAGGCCACTATTTACAATCAGATTAGTCATGTCCATCAGATGGCCGTGTTTAATGTTGCTTGAATATCGATTTACAACAAAGATTCCCCCACATGTGTTGAGTCACACATTTTCGAGAGTGGCAAAATGTGAAATTCTGACATGGTTGCCATGCTAATTTAAATAACCAAGGTTATTTTTTTTTTGATTGATTACATGTTCCTGGGCTAGAAATACAACACACACGTGGGTCTGAAAGGAGCACAGCTTTCTGGCGGCCAGAAACAAAGAATCGCAATTGCCAGGGCTCTTCTGCGGAAACCAAAAATTTTATTGTTGGATGAGGCCACTTCCGCCCTTGATAACGAATGTGAAAAGGTAACTTCCTCTTCATTCATCTCAGAATCTACTACTAGATCTACAGTGCCTGATCCTGGTCTAAATCAAGGTCGATTTGGAGAAATAGAGGCCTGGAAAGAACTGAGGTCACAGGGTCACTGGCCTTGTTAAGAGATTGGTTTGGGGGGTTGTAGAGAGTTGGAGTAAAAGGCACCTCATTTTCTGGAAAGGTTGTCCTCCTTGACCCAGTCTTAGTATCAAAAGAGGACCAAGGCCTTACTGCAAGAAAAACTACTTTTCTGCTGCATGCTTCTGATTCCAATAATGCCACACAAATTAGTAAGGCAATCTACATGTCTAAACTGGGTCTACACTACCATGTCAGCACAGGCTTGTGATTTCATCGGCTATGGACCATTCTCTGCTCATTTGAGTGGGAAACAAAGAAGCAAGAGTTACGATGTTTAATTTTGGTATGTCCTCCTTGTCCAAGGAGCCCTGGTGACGTGGTGGTTACACATTGGGCTGCCTAACTGTAAGGTCAACAGTCCAAAGCCACCAATCCCGCCATAGGAAAAAGACCAGGTTTTTCATTCCTGTAGAGTTCCCCTCTCAGAAACCCACAGATGTGGTTCTACCTGCGGTTGGTTCAACCTGTCCTACAAGGTTAAGAGTCAAATCAACTCAATGGCAGTGCATTTTTTGGTTTTCTCCCTTACTATCTTCTTACACATAGTAGGCACTTATTTGTTAAATGAACATTGATTAAATACATGTTAATCATTAATATTATGGAGTGCGTATAATGCGCTATTATCTTAATGCTGAATAGCTTAAAATAGTTCAGTTGTCTCCCTAAGTTCTAATATAGAATGTGTCTGACCTAAAAACCCATGTTGTTAACTCCCTTACAACTATTTGTACGTGAGCATCGTTCTTCATTCCCAATGAAAGACTGTGCTGTGCTACAAAAGCAAGCAGCATGGCTTTTAAAATCAGACTAATCTGGACTGTAATCTGGATTCTCCACTCACTAGCAGTGCAGCCTTGGTCAGATGACCCGGATTCTTAGAAATTCAGTTTACTGATCAGGGGGAGAAAAAAAAGCGCCTGACCTTATAGGATTATGGCAAGGATTTAAATGACATTCCATCGATGGAGCATTTTATCTAGTCAACAAAAACTGGCTTTCCTTCTGCACGCCAATATCCTATAGCCAGCATTATAAACTCATTGTTAGCTGAGGTGTGAGAAGCCAGCACCCTCTTAAAGCCACTTCCTACCAAGAGAGAGAACGAACAGCGGGTAAAGAAAGGAGAGCTTCCACTTTAGGCATGAAAATAGCCTCTTTGGCTTTGGAACTTGTTGATGACCACTTACATACAAACTGCCACTTCATTTTTCTCCCTCTCATAGAAGTTCTTCCCATAGCAAGTCTGTTGCCATTGTTCTTAGAATGTCTTTTTCCAGATGTCTACTGAGTAGGGTGAGCATTTCACAAAGTCGGCCAGTTGGCTTAGGGTTAAGCAAAGGAAATGAAGCTTGCACTAGACTGCCTAGATTGCTTTGGGTTGGACTTCTTTATCTGCATCTAAACAGAGTTGCTGATCTCAGGGCTGTCTTTCTTCCAGGCGGTTCAGCAAGCCTTGGAGGAAGCCCGGAGAGGGAGGACATGCCTCATGGTGGCCCACCGACTCTCCACAATACAGAATGCAGATTTGATTGTGGTTCTCCATGATGGGAAAGTAAAGGAACAGGGAACTCATCAAGAGCTCCTGAGGAATCGAGACATCTACTTCAAACTAGTCAATGCTCAGTCGGTGCAGTGAGCACCGCTGGAAAGTGGGCAGACGTTTTGAACCTTCTGTAACGCAAAGAAGAGTCCTTAATAATTATTTGGCCTGCTTTTAGCCCTTGCTATTGCAACTGCCCATACCTAGGATCATGCTACCCACGTGCAGACATAGAGGGTGTTTACACACCATCTTCCCTCCCAATGTTTAAGAGGGAACAACAGCTTGTTAAACTCAGTGACGCTAGAGAATGCCTGTACCCCTCACGTTATAGGAATGTTCTAGCACATTGCTCGCAAGGCCATTATCAGCAAAGTGGATTTGCTCTCCCATCAAAGTCTGCTATAAAATCGGGACTATGTTCCCATCGGGAAAGACGATTGATGTCACTAAATGGAATGGCCGTAGCAACGAAAGGTTAGATGTCGTTGGGCCTGTGCCATTGAGGAGAGAAACACTTGGACGTGGGACTCGTAGGGCTCTGTGCCATGTATCCGGGTACTTAGTCCTAGTCCCTCAGTCTCCAGACCTTAGGAGTAGCTCTCAGTTGTAAGCAGATGTTCACTCTTTCTCATAACGCTGCTTCATCACTGTGTTGGGTACGGGAGGCACTGTGATGTGGATGCTCTGCTAGAATTTGGTAGCTATTGCCCAATTGGCCAGCAAGTGAAGTGTCTGAGTGGTCCAACCTGAAGAAGGTTCCATCACGTGAGGCCTATCCGTGCAGATGCATTTATCTACCTAAAATAAGAGGAAATGCTACTGGGGTGAACAATTGTAGATGTCTTCCTTTATGCTTCCTCTTCAATCAAATAATTTGCTTGGATTCTGTACATACTTCAATGTATGCCATATAGGTATGATGTTAAAAGACCTGTGTAAATTACAAATTTGATAAAACGAGTTCTGTTTTCCACTTGCTTACATTTGCAAGTATGCCTATTGGCATTATCTTTATTCTTAATTGTCTTTTCTTTCATCAACAGTGACACCCACCTCTAACCTTGGTAATCATCTAAACTATGGAAAGGAAATGTGCAACCATTTACATGCTATTCCACTTTTTGAATGCAAATTAAAAGTATGATTGGGGATTACCTGTATAACCAACAGATGAATGCTTTTGTTACCGCTGTGTTCTGAATGGAAAGAGAACCCTTGGTAGCATCTCTTCCTGATGTAGAGCGGGCGAAAGAAAAGGACCAGATGGTACAGATGCCCTGATCACCCTGTGAGCAGAACCTCTGCCTCCCATTCTGTAAAGTCACCCAGCTTGGCAAGGCAAGCGACCCTGGAAATGATCGGCCTCAGGCTCCTGCGCTCCGAGCCTGTGCTTGTACATTGTAGGTTGTGCCTCCAGATGTCAGTAAAACACTCCTCTTTTAATGAACACTCACACTTGTCCTTGATTCCCTTGTTAATGGAAAGAATACACTCAAGGGTGTACCATTCTCTAAAATCACTCCCTGCCTGAGCCCACACCAACACACTGAGGACTGGGGGTCAGAGCAGCTTAGCAAGATCCGCAGGGTCATTAGCTGATGACGGCAGGAGGAAGCAGAGACAGTGGCTTTTTAGGGACTGGCGCCGTTTTAAAGTTTACAATTGTGCTGTTCTTAAAATGGCTGTAAAATACAGATATGCACCGCCTAACGCCCATTTGGGCACTGCCTGACCACAGCAACACCTGTGGGGGAGAGGCTTGCTTTGAAAGTTGCCAAGAAGCATCCAGTTTGAAGCACAGAGGTAGTGGCTGCCGCTGCCACATGCCCTGCCCGGTCACCCAGCATAAACAACGAAAAACATTAGCCCTGATCAAGCCTGGGTCTGTTACATCGATTTCTGCCTCCCGGCAGTTACAGGGCTTCTTTTTAAATCACGTCTCATTCTCTTTGTGTCTTCTTTTGGAATTCTATCCAAGCCCGGAGGTGGAAGGGAAGTCACGAGCAAGGGCCCTCGAGTAAGTTGGAGTTGAGGCCAGTGTGAACCATGACCAGCAGAAACCAGGGTATCTATCTTCCTTAGACTGGGGCACCCTTGAGAGCAAGGAACACATCTCAAATCAGATAAAAAGTCCTGACAGAAATTAGGCCTGATCCAGATAACTGAAAAAAACAAAAACTCTCACAGCCATCAAGTAAATTGTGGCTCACAGGACCCTATAGGACAGGGTAGAACTGCCCTTTTGGAGTTTCTGAGACTGTAACACTTTTATGGGAGTTGAAAACCTCATCATTCTCCTGAAGAGGGCCTGATGATTTTGAACTGCTGGCCTTGTGGGGAGCAGCCCAACGCATAGCCCACTACACCACTAGGACTCTTCTAAAGAATTTAGGCAATGAAAAGTCAAGGACCACACTATTTCAAAATGAAACAAATCAACATACAATTAGATAAAAGACTCAAGTTAGCAGGAGTGACATAAGATTAAAAAGAAAGGTTTCTAAGTACTTAAGCTTGCATCGAATACAACTGAACTATTCAGTGGGCCACCAAAGACTGATAATCCTCAAGACAGGAGATGGCACCAAATAAATGTTGAGGCAACAGGGACTCAGAGCCCACCAGGTCATCTTTTCAGTAATGCACGCTGTCATCGCATGTACGAAATATCTGTTACAGCCAGGGCATTATAAGAAGAGAAGGCGCATGAGTGGGCTGGTGCTAAAACTTCCCCTTCCTAAGGACGAGGTTCTATACACAGCAATGAACCTTAAGCCTGGGTGCCACTCCTCTTTCGGCAGAGGCTTGTGTATTGCTCTGTTGCTCAATAGGTCTCAGTAGAGCTTTCAAACTCAGCTGTCTGATTTGATCACCAGGTTACTAAAATTCCTGGTAATCCACTTCTGGACATCAGCCAGTGAAAACCCCATGAAGCCCAACAACCCGTTCCTCCACCAGTCTTAAGGATGATGCAAAACGGGGCAGTGTTCAGTTCGGTTCTGCGTGGGATTGTCATGATGAGGGCCCCCCTCAAGGGCACCTAGCAACCACCACAATATATGTACTTGGCCAAGAAAAGCCAAAGTACAGGGAAGCAGCTGGCTGGAAAGGCCAGGATCCAAACAGTCAGGCCAGGAATGTTACTCCGTTACAGCATCCCTTGGGTCATGCCAGTCTTAGCCTGTGAACCGTCCTACAAGGAAGAGCTGTCCCATGCAGCTTCACTCATTGAAACACCAGTGAAGATCCTATGGGGCTACAGTTGAATTGAAAGATTTGAACAAGGTTAAGGTATGGCACTGACAGTAGTGGGAGAAGGAGAAGAAAAAAAGAAAACACATCATGCTTGTTTCATTATTAACCCAACCACCCTACTTTACATCTTGCCACTCCTTAGAACAAGCTGTGCTGTGGTCTGATGTTAAGTCAGCTTAGGTCAGAGCTAAGAACCTGGTTTTCAGCCGACTGACTGTTTCAGCTTCACAGTATTCATGGAGGCGGTTTGCAGGCAGATGACCTGTTCTGTGAACACAGTTCATAGGGTAGTGTCAGTCCAGTGATTCATTGTTGTTTGCGGTCTGAACTCGTATTTCAAGGGGGTTTTATCAAGTGGGAACCTGTACTGATGGGAAATTTCACTCCTAAGAACTAGTCAAGGTAGGAAACTAGAGAAATTGAAAGTGGGAAGAATCCAGGTAAAGATAGATAGACAGCCTTTATTTGTTTCTCTACCACTGTCATAATTACTAGAATTTGAGAAATTTATTTAAAAGCCATATTTATAAGAATTCTTATAAGAATTTAAAAGCCATATTTATACGCTTATTTATAAGACATTTGGCCCACCCAAATGTCCTTTGCACATCAAGTAGTCCAACTTGCCTCCTTTCAGGAAAACCACACTGATAAAGCCTGTATTACTCTCGTATTGCTGGTGTAACAAGTTAGTGCAAATTTATGGCTTAAAACGACATAAAGTTATTTTCTTACAGTTCTGGAAGTCAGAAGTTCAAGTCCGTCTCAGCAGGCGAAATCAAAGACTGTTTCTTCTAGGGGGTCTAGGGAAGAAGGAGCGCCTTCACTTTTCCATTTCAAGAAGCTGTCCCCATTCCTTGGCCTCGCCCTTCCACTCTCTGGTTCTGTGTCACAGCTCCATAATTCCCTTCCTCCAACATCCCATCTCCTGCTCATTCTCTGGCTTATTCATCTGACCCAGATAACACAGGATTATCTCAAGTCAAGATTGTTGATGTAATCACACCCAAAAAGGTCCTTTTGTCATGCAAGGCAGCGGAATGACTGGAATTCAGATTCTAGTGAAAAGGACTTGGGCAACTTTGGCAGACCATTGTTCAGCCCATCCCAAGGCCTACCAGTTAACTTGCTTTTCCATGGAAAAGATAAGCCCATTTCCATAGGTTTGCACGGAATAAAAATTCAAAGACCCCTGGAAACATCCTAATCAACATCATCATTTTAGAGAGAGAGAGCGCAGAACTGGCATGAGCAGGCACATAGTGTTGCCAAGCTCTGTTTTTCCCATTGCACCAAGCTATCTTCCATCTAAGGGCCTGAGCCAGAACTGAGAATGAATCTGCCTTCCTTCCCTTGTTGCTGCTGGAGTCCACTTTGCTGCCTTTTCCTTTTATCCTGAACCTAGATTTATTATAAATAGGCGTCTATTCGGATATCTACTGTCTTAACATTGTTATTCTCTTTCTACTTTTATGGGCTAGCAAGTTAAAACAGCACTTAAGACTGTAAATATATGAGCTTTGTATATCCTTCTGACCTAAGCAATTTTAAGTATAGATCCTAATGATGGGTATGGGATATGTAGTTATGTAGTTTATGCACGTTATCTCAGTCAGTCCTGACATTAACCCTGTGGCTGTCAAGTGGATTCCGGCTCATAGTAACCGCAGGTGTGCAGAGTACCATTCTCTGCCACAGGGGCTTCAAGGCTGTGCCTTGCAGTCGGAGATTCCCCAGTCCTGTCTTCCCAGGGGCCTCGGATGGGCTCCAATCACCTGCTTTTCAACTAGTAGTCAAGTGCTTAACCATTCACTCTGGCCAAGTAAGAATGGATAGTA